TTCGTAGTTTCGGTTGGTAGCCAAAGTAGTTTTATTATCGCAACATTATTTTCTAGTTTTTTTTCAACTTTACTGTTGGGATTGTTTTTACTGGAAATGTAGTTCGCGGCAATTGTTTCTAGATTGATCTCTTATGACCTTTTCAACAAACATATTATAAACTGAATCTCGTTGTTAATGTATTTTTCGGAGCAGATTTTGGTGGCTCGTGATATGAAACCTTTAAAAACTCCAGTAATAATTGCAGGGTTGATATTTGAGTCGAATTTTATTTGTATGTTTGTTATTGCTTCTTTATGTCTTAGTCAATCCTATTTTATTTAGTATAAAAATAAAATTAGAACGATACCTAACTCAGGTCCAAATGGATTATCACTAATGGTTGTTATTGCCGAGGCATTCTTACAAAAATTGGAAACAAGAGCTTTACATATTGCGAAAATCATATTGGTAAATTTGCTTAAAATAGTTGGAGACAACTATTTAAGAAAAACGTAAAAAAACAAAACAATTTTTATTGACGTCGTGTTTGTAATAGCTTCTTTATGATTTTTAAATTTTATATTGGTTACGTCTGATGATCTATACAAATTAGACCGAAAAATCACAACAACAAAAAAAAGAAAAATGTTACGATGATAAAAAAGTACGATGCTGCTGTTTTACAACTTATTTTAACTGTACGTTCTACAAGAAATGTAGCTAAAACACATAAACATTTTGCATATTTCATATGTGTATGTATACATATGTATGTATGCACATGTGTATGTATGCATGTGTGTATGTATACGTGTGTATGTATATATATGTATATGTATGTATGTATGTGTATGTGTGTGTGTGTGTGTATATTTACTAAAAATTTAATTTTAATATTGCATTAAACCTTAAAGTTAATAAGCATTTATAAAACAAAACTATAGGGTTAAAAAAAAAATTTTTTTTAAATTAAAAAAAAAATCTTTTATTTACTTAACTTTCTACTAACTTTGTCTTCCTTCTTACTAATAATACAATATTATCTTATCTTTGATATCATTATTTTGCATATTATTATTACCTAACTTTGATATTATTATTATTGCTTCTAATTCACTTTTATTATTACTTTTGATTATTAATTTAATTTACTACTTTGTTATGATTGCCTTTTATGTTAACTATTATCATTACTATTAGTATTAATATAGTTATATTTGTTATTATTATAATTTTACAATAATTGTTTTATATCATCATAAGTCTTTACGCATCAGTTTTTAACTGTTTGTAAATGTCCCTCACTATTGTATATATATATGCAGTTATTAAGTGGAAATATTGATTGATTGATTGATTGTGGTGGTAATTATTGATTTCCGCGCAAGAGTTCGGCAATATCATATCGTTTTTCTTCTTCTTTAAAATCACATTTTTTAAATTTGTTTACTTATATTGTCTACTACTAAATATTATCTACTTCGCATGACAAGCTTTTGTTAACATTATTATCATCTTTAATGACTTCCTCTTTTTCTTCTTTTTTTTTTTTTTTTAATTCTTTTTAAAATGCACCGCGGAAGTGCATTTAACCAGGAAGTTCATGCCTCCTTCCATACCGTGCCGCGAAATATTCCCAAAGCTCGTTTCGAATCTGGATCTTGTGCATATAAAGCAAGCGTTCTAACCACTGCGCCACGGCCGCAAAGTTTTATTGGTTGCATTTACTGTCAATAATAAAAAAACACTTGAAACTTAAGTAATTAATAATAAACTTTCAGATCTTAAACTATACCAAAATTAAAAAAAACTCGCATAAGCATTACAATAAAAAACAAGTAATAACAAAACTACTATCATAAAAAAAATTTAACGTACAGATAATATCTATATCTAGTAAATACCTAAATCTAGCTAATATCGAACTAATCAAATTAATTATTATAAAAAGAAGATCAAAATAACTTTTTTACTTAAAATATCCAGCAAACGATTTGCATTTCTTCGCAGCATTTTGAAGTTCTTTTCTATCACCTGCTTTTTTCCTAATTTGGTTAGGCATGTTAACTCTATTGTTTGCTTTTAAAAGTGAATTAGTATTAGTAGAGAATTGTAATTAAGGTATAAACTCTGGAGAGACTATTTTTCATTTTTCGTTTACAAAAGATTTCACAATGCAATGACTTGTAATGACGCCTAACGTTTGTGAAACAATAAAGTAAAAATTATTTCATGAGAATGATTCATAAAAATCAAAAGGTAAACAACAATAATCTAAACTTAACAATAAATCTAAGGTAAACAACAATATATTAGGTGAAAGTTAAGTTAAATAAGAAATAAAAACAGTTTTTAAAGTTTTTCCATCAACATAGAGTCAGTCTATTAAAATACTCTTCTGCGGTAGTCTGCGACAAGACCGTAAGGATCTTGTCACAGAGTACCGCAGTTTTTCTACGGTGCTCTGTGACAAGACCGTAAGGATCTTGTCGCAGTTTTTCTACGGTACTCTGCGACAAGACCGTAAGGATCTTGTCACAGAGCACCGTAGAAAAAAAAAGTTTAGTTAAGATAGCATTGGGTCTGTTTACTTAAAGTGATAAATCGTTTATGTATTATTTCTAGGAGTTATTATCTCTAGTTTTTTTAATCATAACACATTCTTGCTTAACTCGTTAGCAAGAACGAGTTAAGCAAGAATGTGTTAGCCAGAAGCACGTGCCTCCTCCACTTTTTTTTCTAAAATTTTTTTTTTTTTAGAGAAAATTATAGATATAGAAGACTATTTTTAAAAATATACCTTTATATACCTTTGTATTAACCAATTTCAAGATGTTTTTCACTTTAATTGTGAGACCTCATCTTTAGTGCGTGCTTCAATATAAAATCCAAATAATAAAAACTACATTAAAACGATTAAGACGGTCTAGAGAAGGGCATCTAAACTAGTACAATAGATTGCTGGTAAAACATACAAAATATAAAACTATATTGAATATGATCAACTTTTCTTTTAATTCGACTCAAGAAAAACACAAACACGACACAAGACCGCTGGATAGTTAAACTATTGAATCAACTGCAATTTTACTATCACAACACAAAAAAATATATACTTTAAAGCATTTTAGGCTAGCTGGCTGGGTCACAAGTGACAGAAGTAATTGATTTCAATGGAAGAGTGTGCACTTTTTCTACTGTATTAGGTTGATTATTGGCATTATCTAACTGTTCATGAATAACCACATCATTAGAGAAATTTTTACCATTGCTGGTGCAACCAATTTGAATTAGTGTAATGAATGATTTAAGTTTGAAAAGTTTGCTGATTCCATCTTTTGTTGCTGCTGCCTCTTTTCGTTTAGTTGCACCTGACTTTAAAGGCTTTGTTATCTGAAATGAAAAGGAGACTTAAATGGTGTATATTTATGATATTAGATTGTAATACAATATATTAAATGTACACAATATATAAATACTTTGTACTATTATAGATAAGGATGGGTTTGAAAGAAGAAAAAAAAAGATTTTGTTTTTCTGCACATCTGTTTGCACTATGTATGTACATGCACATTAAGTACAAGTATTTTTAAATACTTTACACAATGTTAACAATGTTAACAACGGATTATTTAATTTAATTTTGTTATGTACCACACAATTTCTTTGCAATAATAAATGGTTTTGTAAATTAAAAAGTCAAATTTTTAGATAAACTCTTATATTATTCGGGGGAAATGTGTGGTATATAAAAAACTTATATGAATAATATGAAAAACATATTGTGTGAAAGTATTCAAAAACAAAGAAACTTGAATTTAATAGCAGAAAATTAATTGAAAACATCTTTTTATGAGCGGTTAATAATTTGGTCTTTTATATTTCAAATGATTTCAGTTACGATTTTGAGTATTGAATGGCTTTTTGTTTACGTTAGTTTGATCTGTAAATATTATAGAATTTCCGTTGCGCAACGTTAATGGAGAAAGCTTGCAGCTAATGTTTTGTATAACATTTACAAGTTTACTTAAGTTTTTATATTTACAAAAATGCTTTGATGTCTACATATAATTTTAAATATACCTTATAAGTTTTTTTTCCTTTTTTAATTTAATACGTATGCTGCACAGGTACCGATCATTCAGCTATAAATTAAAGTTTGTTAGTATGTTAGAACGGCCCAAGTGTACACATAATAGAGGCTATACTTTCTTTTTATAATTTTTTTATATAACGGCGTAAACACCCAAAAATGATTTGTATTTGTACATTTCTTAAAAGATAAGTAAATGCATTTGTACTTTATTAAATCCTAGATTGGTAAAAATACTATCTCTTTATTATTATACCGAGTGAGTATTATCTCCAACATAGTTATAGCTTCGAGATAATCCTATGTGTTTTATTCTCACAACTTTAATTACAAAACATTTAAAAATAAAAAATTAACTTTAAAAAAAATTATTATTTTTATTATTATATTTTAAATTTGTGCTGTCATTTTTACAACTTGTATAAAAGATTCGTGCTTTGTCAAAACTTTTAAAGAATTATTTTTGTATATTTCTCATCAAGATTAAATCAGTACAGAGCCTTATAGTATTATACCAATTAATATTAAAGTTTAATTTAAAAACTACAGGATAAAATCTTTGTTTAAAATATAAAGCATGGCAGGCAAGATTGCTTCACAGAGAAACTAATTTAAAACTAATTGAGTACAATGATAAAGAGGTAATAGGTCATCAAAAGTGATATTATTCAATATCTCTTAATCATGGAAAGCTTAGCTACTACACAAACACGTTTACTTTAGTTATAATATATAATAACTATTAAATAAAAAATAATATTTAATATCAAATAATACAACAAATTTCGTTTACTTGATAAATAAGACTTTCAAAAGAAAGAATTAAAAAACCATTTGTGTAAGAGCTTTTTCAGTTGATATTATTACAAAATATTATGAATGTTTTAAAATATTATTATTTATTTTAAAATGACATGCAGAAACGTTTTTGCAGTTAATATTGTTTAAAATATCCAATCTACAAAAACTGATTTGATTCCTGATACAAAACTTTTTGTATTTTGTTAGCTTTATAATGCTGTTCTTAAATGAAAAGGTAAAAAAATTTTGTTGAAAACTTTTAAATTAAAAATGCTTAAATAACGAAAATATTTTATTTTTTGTAATAAAATTTGTTTGATTTACATTTTTATTTTTATCTTTTTTTTTATTAGAAACACTGAGTTACCCAAAGTAAAATAAAATAAAAATAAATGTGCACTAATTATGTCCCGTCATGAAGGTAACTTATTTATAATTTTTACATAAAGCAAGGATGCGGAGTTCTAAAAGAACTTGGGCATTAAATCACTATTTTTTCCTAGTCTCTGGTGTTTAGGAACTATATTAATGTTGAATGATTTATGATGGAGTTCTTGCCACCATTATACATAAAGACTCCAGGTTCAAAATTGATTATTCATCTATACTAAAAGTTTTAATTATTTTCCAAAAGTAGTCTATAATTCTCTTTACATTTTTTGAGATTCTGAATATCAAAAACAAAAGAGAAATAGTTATTTTGTGACTTTCAAATTTGATATTCTTTTGGAAATCTGCATCCCTGATATAAAGTGACTAACTAGGGCTTCAGGCGAGGCATGTCAAGATTTTTAATGCATTAATATTTGTTTAATTAAGTTTTTACAGTCTTCATATTAACTAGTTATAATAGATTATTATGTTAAGAAATGTTTATCATTAACTTAAATACCTGAATGTTTAAATCTCTACAAATTTTAGATATGAATTTTTTTAAGGATAACCATTAAAAAAAAAATATTTTGGAATCATGGTAAAAATCTTAATGGTTTAATAAAAGTATATATAATTATATTTTTTGCAGATAAACATTTATAAACAAAGTAATCTTTCATTAAAAAAAAAATAATAAAAGCAATCAAAAGCACATTAAAATTGATTATTTTTTAACTAAAATTGCAACACGATTTATCAAGTTATTGTTAGGTTAAATCTATGAAACTTAATGTCGGACAGATTTTTAATTTCCCTTGAACTTTTATCAACTTACTCTAATTACAACTAATCATGCACTTAAGTTGTAATCTGGTTAAGTCAGACCATTTGCTAACTCATAGTGTTTTTTGGGTCCCTTTGGCAAAAAACTTCTTTTAACTAAGATTTTCATTTTGAATTGCATATAATTTACCTGGTTATTTACCTGGTATGGCCATACCAGTATTGCTAAAGCAATTGTAACTTAGGAGTTATAGAGTTGAGAGAGGGTTGTATAACCACAAATAAGTAGCCTCCTTGTCTGTAGTGGCCTTCTCGGCCTTGAGGAGGTGAATTAACAAAAAAAAAACTTATTAAATTTTGATTTTAAACAATTTAAGGAAGTGACTGTTACAGTATAATTATCAAGTGAGTTCCAGCAGTTGACTACACGTTCCAAGAAGAAATATTGTCTTGCCACAGTTGTGAATCTATGCTTAACCAGTGTAATTGGGTGACCTATTGTTTTTTTGTTTGTAGCTAATTCAAAAAAAATTGTTATATATAATAGAGAACCCATGCAACATCTTGTACACTTTTATTAAATCTGATTTGTTCCTTTGTTTCTCAAGTTTCCATAGACCTAGTTTAAGTATTCTGTCTACATATGATAGATGTTCCACTTCTTTTATCATTTTATTAAAACAATGTGGTATTTTTTCAATTAGTTCTTTATCTTTGGCTTAAAAAGGCAACCAAACAGACGCACAATATTCTATGTGTGGATAAACTAACGATTTATATAGTTTCTTCATAATATCAGATTGTTTATAAGCAATTGTGTGATTTATCATTCTTAGAATTTTGTTTGCATTGCCATAAACCCTCATACATTGGTTAGATACTTTCAAATCATGTGATATCAAAACTCCAAGAAACCATCACTTCTGGTATTAACTTAAGAGAATATATGGTATCATCAGCAAATTTTAATATATATGGTCTGTCACACCAGTATCCATATCATTAATATATATTAATATATATCAAAAATAGGATTGGACCTAATACTGATACTTGTGGTATGCCACTAAGTACTCTCCTAAAAGAAGAATTTTTTCCATTCAAAACTACTCGTTGAACCCTGTTAATCAACCTAGAGTTTATCCATTGAGATAGTTTGCTTTCAATTCTATGACTGTACAATTTTTTTAGCAATCTTTGATGAGGAACCTTATCAAAGGTTTTTGCGAAATCTAAATATCTCACATCTACACAATCTCTATTGTCAACAGAAATAGCAAATAAAGTGGAACACAAATTTCATTTTGAATATTGTAAAGTATCCTTGGCCCTATATCATCAGATTCATCTAAGTTTAAACGATTTTGTCCTCACATCATTTTTGGTCAAGATGCAGTCACTTATCCTAAATTTTAAGCCTATTAATGATACCTTCAGATTCTGGTATTATGTCAATATTCTCATAAGTGAAAACAGATGCAAAGTACTAATTAAATTCTTCAGCTATTTCAGTAACTGAATCAATTTTAACACCATCATTTTTTAACAGCACTCCAGCTTTAACTGTTGACTTTGTTTTGTCTCTAGCATAAGCAAATAATGATTTAGAATCATATTTAATAATTTGCATATTGTGTCTGAGGACTTGAAATGATTTAGATGGCATTTGTAATAGGCTTTTTAACAGTCATACATAAGATGATTGACTTTATTTCTCCAAATTTGACATTCTCTACAATGTTTACTCAGCACTGCAAAATCAAAAACACTGCCAAATCTTAACAAAGATAACAGTGCTGTTAATAAGGCCATTACTTGTGGTGCTTTTTTACCTACAAAACAGAGGTGTGGAGTTATAAAAAAAAGTACCGACTCCAATCATTGAAATTTTCTGAGTTCAACTCCGACTCCAAAACAAAATTTTTGAAAAATTCTTTGAATTCTTCAAAAAATATTACATGATATATTTAACAAAAAAAAATTTTGTTAAATATATGAAAAGTTCTTTGAAGGTTAAATATTTTGTACATGCACATGCAATACCGAGAAGTTTTACTATTCAAGTCGTCAAATTCATGTCATGACTCCAACTCCACAGCCCTGCTACAAACTATACAAAATAAACAAATTTTATAAAATAATTAAAATAAAAAGTTTTCCGTAGTTAAATTGGATCATTAAAGTAATTATTACTGATTATGAATTATTGATATCTAAAATAAAACAGTATCTTAAAGTTTTTTTTTTAACTTTTTCTAGTTTTTAATTTAATTAGAACAAATAATCTTAAACAAAAAGTATTTATATTATATATTAAAAAAATGTCAAAAATATCACAATATATATCATTTTTATCTTAAAAGTTTGGCAATGTTTGATATTGTAAAAGAAGAATTATTCATAGAATATAATATAAGAATTAACTACAGTAACACTAGTTTTTTGAAGGGTTTTGCAATACTTTAAGTGCTTTCACAAAACCTCTCTATAATCTGTACATTTCTACTACTTTCCATTAATTTTTTTCCTGATAAATTCTAAAATAAGGAAGATAATTGTTAATTGTATTGTATTTTTTGCAATTGATTGTAGATTAGCAGAGAAAATCTTTTTTTTAAGCATTTAAATATCTCTTTTACTATTTTTTTGTGTGATTATTGTTAATACTATTACTAGTATTAGTTAGCTTATTTACAGTAACAAATCAATCTAGCCTTGGTTGGTCACTATTGTTTTTTTATTATGTTGGTAAATAGATTCAAAGTTACCAATATTAAATCTTACAAAATCATTGTTTTATTTTTGCCAGGTGTAAGCTGTGATTTTTGCAGCAAAAGTAACTTTGGTGGTAAACGCTATAAATGTCTTATTTGTTTTGATTATGATTTGTGTTCAACCTGCCATGATAATTGCACAACTACAACAAGACACTCTTCTAGCCATCCGATGCAATGTATAAATACAAGGTCAGATTTTGGTAAGCACTTAGTAGTTTTAGAAGTAGTAATAGTGGTTGGAGTAATTTTAAAGTAATTTTAAATTATTATTTTTCATTTTATCAAATCTCAATTAATATCTGTTTAATTACAAACAAAGAAAATTTAGTAAAGAATTTCTAAAAAATAAGAAATTAAGAAAAATTAAGAAAACAGATAACAAAAAATTGTATTTAGTTAATAAACAAAACAAAAAAGATCAAAAGTTTTTTTACGCAGAGTCTTTAATCAAACCAAAATTAAAAGCGCTTTATATTTAATGAAAATCTCAGTGCAAAAGAATCTCCTGCTTCTATTCTTAAAATAAACTTAGTAATGCGTATCTAACTGCTTTCTAACTATTTGAAAAAAATCTAAATTTATATTTTTAAAATAGTATATTTTGGCTTTTAGCAATTGGCTTTCTTTTCTAATTATTAAAACATTTTTTTTTAACTTCACTTGGGGGCTGAAAATTTTTTCAGTTTGTTTGTTGATGGTTCAAAGTTCATAGTGTCCTTATTTTAATTTTTATCCAGTCTTACAGTAGCATTTCTTTTCACTCACGCTTTGAAAGAATAATTTTTTTTCCATAACTTGTTTTTAATTGGAGACTTTTAGAAAGTTTTGAGTTGAGAGGTGGTATTGGGTTATAGAGTTTCTTTTATTTGAATGCAAATTAAATTTAACAGTTTGAATTGCAGAAAACCTTTTTACACTATGACAGGTCTTAGTGTAAAAGTCTTTTTACACTAAGGCGGGTTTTAGTGTAGCTGTCTTCTTGTTTATGACATTCCTGATGCTAGTAAATATAAAGAAACAAAAAGTTTAATAAAATTGTTTTTTGTTTTTGATTTACCTGAATTACTATAACATAGTTATGTTATACTTATGTTATTACTATGTTATGTTATTACTATAACATAGTTATGTTATACTTATTATTTAATTTATTTAATTAGTAATAATACTAAAATTTGTGTTTAAGTTGAAAATTAAGTTACTTTTACTTAAATTACTACCTTCAGCTTTCAGTTAAAAAATTTACTTGTATGATAGGTCCAGTAAATATTGACATAAAAACTTTAAAAAGTTTATTTTCTCATTAAATTATAATTCAAAAAGATTCTCAGAATTTTAATGATTATTTTTAATCATAATAAGCTTAGCAGTGTATATAAGAATATAATAATTTATTATTACTCTATTACTATTTTGCTTAAGTTTTAAATCATTATGAATTTTGTGAAATTTGAAATCTGTTATGTCAAGCTTTGTTAATTTTTTACCCAATACATCCTTAATTAGTTCTAGCTTTATAAAGCCTAAAAAAGGTTTAACTACTGATTCTACTGATTTCAGCTCCTTGTATAAAAAGTAAATTTTCAAAATAAGTTCTTTCTGTTTAAATGGATCCCAAGTCTTCGAGACATGTTGTGTACATATTAAAAAGAATGATAAAAAAAATTTTAGGAGCTAAATTTTTTTTTTATTAAAACAAAAGAATAAATGAATACCAAGAAAAACTAACTTTTTTCATTTTAGTCTAAAAGGCCTAAAAGTCAGCATAATATATGTCGCAATCTACAGGCTTGATAATTTATTCAAGCACACTTTATTCCAAAGGGTTTTAGTACATGACGTCATTAACTTTTTTGTTTGTTTACATAATCGATTTCTTACACAAACAAAAAAATGAATGATGTCATGTACTGAAACTCTTAGGAATAAAACACGCTTGAATAAATTATCAAGTCTGTAGATTGCAGTGTATATTATGCTGACTTTTAGGCCTACTATAAAAGGGAGAAGCAAACTTCAACTAAAATAAAAAAAATTTGTTTTTCGTGGTATTTATTTATTCTTTTGTTTTAATCGAAAAAATTTAGCCCAAACATTTTTTTTTATCATTCTTTTTAATATGAACACAACATGTCTTGGAGGTTTGGGATCCCTTTAAGTATTAGAGTAAATGACTTAAAAATTAAAAAGATTGCAATATGTTTCAACTTGCTTCTCTGGCCTTGTTCATCAAGGTTCATGTTTTAAAGTTATAAAGTTGAGAGAGGGTTGAAACCACAACTAAAGTAGCCTCCTCAACTGCAGTGGCCTTCTCGGCCTTGGTAAGGTGAATAAACATAAAAAATATATATTTAATTATATATATAAGTTAGCATTTATTCTTTATTTCAACTTTTAAATCTTGTAAGCTTGTGCATTCACTTCTTTGAAAATAATTTTTATATTTTAAGTTATATTTATGAGCGGTCACAACTGAGTGCTACTATTTATAAACATGCTGACTATTAATAAACTTCTTTTTTCTTACACTGGAGATAATATTTAAATGAATAATAAATAGTTTATTTGTATTTAAAATAAGGTTAAGCAAAATATTTTAAATAAGGTTAATCAAAATAGTTGGATAAATGTCAATTTATTTTGTAAAACTAATACAAAAAAAAAAGATGCTATAGTTTAAATTTATTTATATCACAAATGATAAGACAAATTTTTTGCAAAAACTTTTATTTAGACACTTGCAACTTAAAAAAAATTTTTACTCTCTACTTAATAGTTAAAAAAGATTTGAAAAGTACAAAAAATTTCAATCAACTGGATTAAAATGGAACATCCTATTGATTAGATAAGATATTTGTTTTATTTTAACCAGACTTTTGTTTTGTTTTTTAACTGTGTCATACTTATACTATGTCACATCATGTCAAAATTTTGTTCAGGATTTTAAATTGTTATGAGTTGTGTTGATAATAATATATTACTACTTCAGGGCTTGAATTAAGGCAAGAAAATCTATTTGCAAAAAAGAAATAAATTTTGGTACCCCCTCCCCTCATCCCAGGCGCCACTTTGCGGTTATGGAGGGGAGGGGTTATAATTTAAAGTTTAAGTTGCAGTTATAGTATAAAAATCTTGTATTAAATACTATTAAGATATTACTTTAAGTAATTATTTTTACTTAACATGATACTTAAAAAAGTGAAATTAAAAAACTAAGAGTAAAAGCGCAAATAATACAAAATTTTAACCATTTTAATTAAACATTGAAAACTATTCATTATGTTCTTGCTGACAGTAAAACAAGTGTTTTATTGTGTTATTATGTGTTAACAACATATAAGATATAAATAGAAACATATGGTTGGTTTTTTCAAGTCTTTGAGTATATAGAGTAAATTTAATAGTGGAGTAACTGTAAATTACTGCAGTAACTTAACAGGTTGTTTTAATTTAGTTTAAAGGAAATTTTACTGTGATGTACTTTATTCACTCACTCAAACTAAATATAACTTTAAAGCAATATTAGCTTCCATGTAGAAATTTAAAGTGATTGAAATTCAAAATCTGTTGAATAAAATCTGACATGACACCTAATAAAAAACTTGGACAAAAACATAACTTTTAAGAATGATCCAAAAAAAAATATGCTAATTTAGGGGTAAAAAAGTTAACAAAAAAACAAACAAACAAATCATGAAAATAGTTTTTTTTATGAAAAAAACTAATCGCAAAGGTATGAAAAACAATCGCAATTGGCAATTGTTATACGCTTAATTTGAGCCCTTTACTTTATTATATAAGAATAAATTATATCAAAAACTTACCTTTAAGTACATATTTATAAACATTATTATTATCATTCAATAACTGTAAACGGTAATGATAATGAACAAACTTTTTAACTTTAAAATTAGACAAATTAGTTTCCAAATTACATCTAGTTTTTACCAAGAAACAAAACAAACATGTATTTAGGTATTTTATTTAAATAGTTTAAATTATATAAAAAATTAAACAAATTACATCATATATTTCTTATTATGCATACTCATCTTGAGAATTAATATCAATAATAAGTCGCAAATTTCTTTGTTATAATGCTTTCCCAACAACATAATATTTTTTATGATTAACTAATAGTGTAAAATAAAAGCAATTTCAAATTAAAAAACTCAATAAATACCTCAAATTAAAACATTGTTTTACACAGGAATATGACTACATACTTTGAAACTTTGTGTTTTTTATTAGTTATAGTACCAGACAATTTGTTGCTAGAAAACATTTTAATTCAATAAGTGATCTACATGATCATAAAAGAATAAAGAAGTCATAGTATAAACATGTTTTAGTTCTTTGTTTAGACTTTTTAACTTTTTTGAACAGTCTTTAATCTTAATGGTTTTAAGGCTATAAGAGACTCACAATATTCTGATGTTATTTATGACACTATTTATTCATTATAGGTTTTCTCAGATATGCTAGTGAGGTTGGGTTCTATTTAGAAACTGCTTTCAATTTCACCCAACAATTTTAGACAGCGTTTGAATCCTGAATTGTTGGGCACAGGGCAAGTACATTAGTTGCATTTTTTTGTCTTGACAACAAGCCTTCCGTTAAGCGCGTGCGGTTATACACTTTGTTCAGCCATGCTTATAGCAATTATTTTAGACAATTTGACCTAGTTTTTATATAGTATGGGTTTTAAGAATTTGCGGCAAAATAAAGCTATAAGATACTAAAGGGAATAAAAAGGCAATACTCTAAGAAAGAAAACGAAGACTATTCAAAACAGAAAATCTAAATAAAATAAGTTAAAAAATTAAATACTTAAAAAAGAAAAATGTTGTCAAAAAAATATTATATTTAAATATTTTTACTTTTATAAAGTCGAGGAAAAAAGCAGATAAGAATATAACGAATCAAAAAACAATAATATGCAATATTTTTGCGACTTTTTTCAGTCAGTATATTAGAGAAATATTTTAATGCGTTAGAAACATAGACAGTTTTTATATTTATTTTTCAAATATTTTTCAAATGTTAAACTTTGCTGTTTTTATCAAAACACATGAAAGCGAGAAAAGTCATAGCTATTTATTTGAAAAAAATTCATTTATTTTTCTTTAACAAGTTTTTCATATAAAAAAATGAAGTCATTAATAATAATATTTAAATATAAAATATTTGGTTGTTTTCA